GGAGGCCGTATTTCTACATTTTATATAATTGATCTACATGTTCGACAGTCAAGTCTTTCATAATGGTAGCTAACTGATTCTTAAGATCAGCGTTTTCAGTAATTAACTTACTTATGCGCGTTGGCTTAGAAGTCTCGGACGTAGATTCGGGTTTGTCACTTGAGATTGCCTCCTCTTCTGGTTCCATAATAGGTTCCTTCTGAGGGTTGTCCTTGTCCCCTATAATTGGGGACGCCCTCATAATTGAGGACTTTCCTTTCTGAGTTTCGTCAGAAGAATGGGTTGTGGCGTCTTGAGACGTGTTCCTTGTTTCACTTCTTGGCTTCGTAAATGCAAGCTTTGAAGTTGAGGCAATAGTTAGCCCTCGGGCTCTATCAGTAGGAGTAGTCTCCTTAAGCGGAGTGGCTACATCCTTATCTGAAACATTATCCTTTTGACTATTATTGTCAGAGGCAAGTACTTCGGCTACAGTGGGGTTAAACGCATCAGCAGCGGGAGCGGTTGCCTCTGCTGCTTCTCTCTCCATTTTCTTCTTTTCAGCTTTACGCTTCTTAGAAGGAGTATTGTCTTTCTGGGTCATAATCTTAACTTATGACTACTAGCTGGTCTCTTAAGGACTAGCTTGGACAAGAAAAATTTTGTGGTAGTTTTCCACCTTTACGTTTAAGTAGTCTAAGTAGTTAATACCTTTGCTAACTTTAAAATGTGTTAGATTCGGTCTAATAAAGGCGATACTAATGCCTTAGAATAAATAAACACGTAGGTAAATTCTAAGTATCGTGTAAATATCAAAGTAAATAAACGAAATGAGACTTAGGGTTTTAGGGTTTTGAAAACAGCAATACTCCGAGGGATTGTGAGGCTGAGACATTGCCTATGTATAATCCTCTCAGTACTGTTTCCGCCGAAGGGATTTTATTTAGTGTTTCGTTGTCGCTCTATTAGAAACTATGGTATGTTTCACTGGGGCGAATCCGAGAGACTCATAAAATCCTATCTTTAAAAAAAAAAGAAAAAAAGAAAGAAAAAAACTCTGATGTCCTTAGTTATTGTCTGAACCAATAACTTGCCACTATCAAGAATTACTGACTTAGCCTTCATCAGATTGGCACATCTGGTTGGCTGATCGGAGGATCAACTAGGTAACGTTAATAGTCCCTAGAAACCTGTATTCGGTTGAGCCATCTCGCTACCGAAGTATTCAGATATAAATAAAGTTGGAAAGTAAATAAAGTTCTATTAATAGAACTAGACCAACTCTTTATGTTTGGTATTTTTCCGAGGCCTTTTAATGGCCTCGTCCAAATATCTAATATGTAAAATGGAAAAGGTATTAATTAATAAAACCATTAAAAACCATTTTAGGAAACTTAATTTCCTCATACTATTAAGAGTACATTTAGGAAACTTAAGTTCCTCGTACTATTAAGAGTACGTTTGTAATTTACGTACTGCTTAAGAGTACGTTTCTAAGATAGAGTTTAATATGGAGGCCCGGCTTATTACACTGTGTTATGTTTAAAAAAGATGAACTCCTTTGCAAGTTTCTGTTAGCTTATACTTGTACAGTTATTCTTGCTTGCCAGTTATTCACAACCTGTATTTCCGCAGCTAACAGATCGTGCCATACACATGCACATGTCTATGTTCCACTTCGTACCAGGCTCTTGGTCACATTGTGACTTTACACCCCTTTTAGCTAGATATGCTTGCCCACGCAACCATAATGTTTGCATTCGTGTCATTACCTAGTATCTAAATCAGATGTGAGGCAATGGTTTGCCGCACCTTTTAAGCAAACAATGCGATATACTGTATGTAACCAGCTTTTTGCACCAACCACAAATGATTTCTAGGACAATCTGGGGCTAAACTCTACTCTGAACCCAAATTTATAATAGGGCTACTGCGCCGATTTATTTTTCTATTTAGTTCCTCATAATATTCGTCCAAACCGGAGCTCTCGAGTGGCCTGTACCCGAGAGGCCAGGACCAGAGTGGCCCGGACCCGAGAGTGACCAAGAAATCGATAGAGTAGGCCCAAGTCATCGAGAGTGTGGCCACTTTGGCACCCGCCAAGTATTGGCAGTCTGGTGTGGCCTCAAAGCCCCAAAAATGTTTTTTTTTATCACTGAAAGCGTAGCTATAGAGTCCCTATCTCTTTTATTGAACTTGAAATCTGTCCGGAGCGCTTTTTGTGGAATACTTCTTGTGGAACGCTTTTTCCGAAACACCTTTTCCCATTTGAAGGCACCCAAGAGGCCCCCGAGAAATCCTAAATGGGTTTTTTTTTGACACGGTGTCCTTTTCCATGTCCTTTACTTCAACGGATTGTCATGTCGAGAGGATGTTCAACATCCAAAATTCTGTGGAATATTCATCGCAGAAATAGTGAGCCCATCTAGTCCATTTTTCAAACAAAAAAGTGTATATACATACTACACAACGACATTGGTCATATGTAAATATTAGTGAGCGTGTGTGCGGGAGCTTGTGTGTAATTGAGTGAGCCCGTGTGAGCGAGCGAGTGATTGTGTGTAATAGTATGCGCGAATGCGCGTGTATGAGTATTTGTCAGTGAGTAGACGTGTGTATTCGTGTGCGATTGAGGCGTGTGAGGGAGTGATTACGTGAGTGGGGGTGAGTGAGTAAGCGTGTGTGGGTGAGCGGGTTTATGTGTGAGCGGGTGTGACTGAGCAACAGTGCGTATGTGTGTTGAGTGAATGTGAGGAAGAAAGGGGGGAGGGGGTCCCTCGTTGTGTGAGTGTGTATACGTGTGTGTGTATTTCATGGGCATAGGGCTATATTGGGCGTGCAATGGTTGAGACATATTTTACTATTTACTTTTAGTCTGAATATAAAAAACTCTATGATTATTTGTTCTTCGGTCTCTTGAATATACGCTTTCAGTCCTCGCGGCGCCCCAGCCGTGTTTTATTTGACTTCCGAATCTGTAAATAAATACATATTTAATATATTAAATATTTAAAAACACAATATGAAGTGAGGAGAATGGAGATCAGGGGAGAACAGGAACTCTCAAAGCCTAAAATGGAAAAAAAAACACAAATAAAGAACATAGCCTTTTGAAAATGTTTAATTTTCAGAAGATGGCTCTGCAAGCAAGGGCACCTCGTTTGTACATATGTGATAGTTACATACTGTTAATCACATAGCCTTGTTCTATTTCAGAGGGGGCTTTGCAACAATTTCAAATACTACTACATAATATCAAAGCATGCAACACCGCACTATAGAGTACAACGGTGAATGTACTATCTGCTCAATGAAAACCACAAAATGGTAAGCACTTGGCATAGCAGTATTCTCAGACCGGTCAGCATTGCCATATATCAGAATTCAAATAGACCGTTGTAGAGACGAGTATGCACTCAAACGATGGAGTCAGCTAGTGGGTGGACGATCAACTCTGCGGGTGAGATCATTAGACAGCCCCGGGCCTTATCTTCCAGACCGCACACGGGGTACTACAAGCGTGCTACATCACAAATTGACAGCCAGTGCGAGTACAGTAGAACACCACACGTAGATCACGCTAGTGAACCGAATGGTGATCATTCTACAGCACCACACAAAAGTCAGTCTAAATTAAAGTACGACAGTAGTCCCAAAGCAACACACGAAAGTCGTCCTAGCACTACGCCACACGAAAATATAAACAAAATTCCACGGCACAGGCATATTTCAGAGGGATATAGTCACTCTAGAACTGCACACAGAAGTCAGCCTCGTGTGCCACACGAGAGTCATAGCAAACCACTACACGAAAGTCACGGAAAGGTATCACACGAGATCTCACACGAGAGGTTAAACAAAGTACCACAGCAGAGGCACCCCTCAACGGGCAGGGCGCGTCCTCGTGTGTACGATAAAAGCAAGACTAGAAGGGGTCTCAGTGAATCAAGTACACTGAATGCAGGCGAGACCAGCTATCGGCAACCCGCTACATACGCTGGAAGTACACACAAGCACTCAGTGAACGTATGCACACCAACAACAGGAAATACTCCTGATATAGTCGATGACGACACCACAGAGAGCACGTCCAATAATGTGGCGACTACAACCAAAGCGGCGGCGATGAGCGCGCCTGCATATCAGGTTAACGAAGGGGTTGGGGCGAATATGAAGGACTTACAATTGCTAAGTCCATCACCTGGGAGAACCATGCGGGCGGCTTCACCCTTGCGTGCGCGAGCGTATAGTAGCAACAGTGAGATGAACCACAGCAGTTATGATGACACGTCGTCCGACGATGGAGATGATAGTTGTTATGATGAACTTGGCGAGAATACCCTGGAGAAGTGTGTAGAGGGCTTGGAGAGTATCTTTAATTCGGATACTATCAGTAGTCTCGGGGGCGAGCATTTAGACAAAAATCCACTGAGATTGTTACGCAGTGAGCCCTTGCTTAAGGTTATTAACAAGGGAGAATACGAAACAGTGCAGAAGGTGAGGAATAGTCAAGCAGGTGCACACAATGGCAAAAGTACTGACATCGATACTAAGAAACGTAATAGTAGCACAAAGACGGATACAAGGAAACGCAACGGTAGTACAACTAACAACGACACGAAGAAATGTGACAATAGCACCAATACCAACACAAGGGTACGTGGAGTTGGCAGCGGAGAGGCACTAAACATCTTAGGTATCTCCGAAGCTGCGGAACCTGCAAACGTTCTGTCATCGCATGTCATCTCCACTGCCGTACCTTTGCCTGTGAACTCAGCAGGGAAAAAGATTGTCATACCCACCGATTTGCCAGTGATGGTGTGTCTCAAGAAACGACAAGTTATTCTGAAAACCACGGCTGAGAAGATGTCGCACAGCCAAGGCCGGCCAGATGTATCTTTGTACCGGTACATCCTACTAAAACGCTTATTCAACGCCAATGTGAAGCGTATAGAGACCGTTGTAGACCAAACGACGCAGTCTATGATGATAAACAAGCAGGACATGGCGAAGACGAGTAGATGGAAAGCTAAGAGCACAGAGGGCACTATGGCCAGTACAAGTACACGCCGCGCTTCACTGGATCAGAGGGAACAAGAGGTAGACCGCAATCACCACCAAGATTTGACGAGGAAACAAGATACAAGAAGGGGCATGTCGTACAAGTACAACCAGAGCGCGTCAGGTACTAAGAGAGTCATCCGCATCCCAGCAGGTGGGGTAAGCCAGCAGGCACGGTTGTCCATTAAGCAGCAGGTAGCGTGAGTGGTGGAGGGGATCCGTGCTATTGGTAGTGTGTGTTCACCTCGGATCCGCGATTGCTATAGAATTGATAGTATATAGAATTTGTACGTGTTAAGTGTCCAGGACTTCTCCGTGTCGATAACTGTCTACACTTAGGCAGCAGAGTATCGGAGTTGTTTCGCAATTTAGCGCATCCCCACGGGCGAGTGTTCCTCTGCCTGTGTACACCTTGGGGAAAGGGGTTTCCTGCCCGGGGTATGCATAGGCGTAGGGGCGTTCCCCTGTGTGGATGCGTGAGTGCGATAGCTATACCGTGATACAAAGCACACTGTTGTATTCTAAAAAAATCAGCAACCAGTCTTGGAAGCGACAAGGTTGTGACTATTAAAGTTCGTAAATTTGTCTTTTGTATATGTTGTGATGTAGCAAGGGATATGTAGGATACTATATAATGCATACGATGCAAGCACTTGTATCGTAATATATCTGAGTGTAAATTTTGGTTGAGAAATGTCGAAGTATAGCATCATCATAGGCACTTCCACGTAGGGCATGTATGCTGAACAGAAACAAGCACATTCACACGGACTATTGTCCTTATATCCGTGCTTTCGTCGGGTGAAATCACTTCATCACTCGGGATGTGCATAGGAATAGGGGAGTTCGCCTATGTGAATGCGATGTATGTAGAGATACTGGTATTTGTAACCTATGGCGCTGCATGGGAAGACCACTGTTAGGATACGAACACACGATGATTTTCGTAGGTAAGTATATTTGCCTGTCGTGGTAGTGACAAATCTAAATTTTTGTAGGTATACACACGTTCTAAGCGGCGCATGTATAGTGCATGCATTAGCAAAGAGGCCCTTATTCTGTGCTTGCGTTGAGTGTAATTTTTGCAATAATAGGGTATATCCGGATATAGCGGCGTTCGTCTGTGTAAATGAGCTTACTAACAATGGGATAAAGATACATGGGAAGTATGCTGTCGTAACTAGGATACTCATACTCAATTTCAACACATTGTTATGTTCAAATTTTATGGTTCATTTATAACCTGTTTAGGATCAAAGTATTCATTTTTAACTACTCGGTTGGTTGCGCACCAAAAAAATATGCGTACGCAACAGATTTTACATGTATGCTATTATAATATTCATTTTCTTAGTTGTGGGTTTGAAATAGTAGCAGCAATGTTATTCGGGAAAGCATACGAGCACTTTATTCGTGAAGACATACATATTAATGTATACTGTACACACAATGCCAATTTGATCACACGCAAGCTCAATCACTCGGGCGAGTGTCCATATTTTCGTGCACACGTCGGGTGGAGACGCTCTAGAACTCGGGGTGTGCGCAGACATATGGGCGTTCGCCTGAGTGATTGTGCTTGTACTTGTGCGTATCAGAGGGCATCAGTGCATGTAAGATTTGATGTTACACCCAGGGTGATTTCTTTCTCAAAAGGTGGAACAAGAGTAGGGTCGTGATCTATATCAATACTCTCAGCTAGGGCAGATATCCTTGCATTTCGAGATCCTCGTATATGGAGAATCGACACACACACACACACATATATATATATATATACATTCATATATACATTGATTGATATATATATATATATATATACATATATATGAATATATATATATATGTGTGTATATGTGTGTATGTGTGTCTGTATGTCTGTATGTCTGTATGTCTGTGTGTATCTGTGTATATGTATATGTGTGTATGTGTGGATGAGTGTATGTGTAGATGACACACATACACACATACACAAACACACACACACATACGCACATACACACATACACACACGCACACACACACATATATATACATATATATCTATATATATATATATATATATATATATATATATATTATGTGTGTGTGTATGTGTGTTGTGTGTATAGTA